ACTCTGACTTTTCTTTCCAGAATAAGTGAAATTTCAGTCCATCTTGTCCCTTATGACTTTGTCATGAGTTTTAAACTCAATCTCTTCCAGGAACACTGAGAATAGCAAGCAAATGTGGATTTCATAAGCTGCCTTTTTTGCATATCTTTCCTCTTTCTTACACTTTTCAAATAATGTTGATTAATTATGGGTTTATTGGAATACAGAGCTTGCTTGTAAGGAAATAATTGTTACGCTTTGATTTGTCATACTCTGATTAAAAGCACTGCACATGTGATTGCTTCCAGCTACTAACTATGCTGCAGTTGAGGGGCAAATTATGCCCCAGTCCAAACATCCATACATCCTTGTAGTCCATACATCCTCATTAACTGAAAGATTAGTCCCAGCAGAATTTGACTGAGTCAGAGATATCTTTTTTGCAAAGTCAGTTCACCGAAATAATCCAAATGCTGTTTGCTGTTGCAAAGACTCTGTAGGTTTTCACTTAAAGCTTGTATTCCTTTTATAATCATGAACTCCCACCATGCTCTTACAGCTGATACCTCTCTGTAGCTAGTCTCTCACAGGTAGGCATGGATGACTCCTCAAATAACATTTATTACTAGCTGGAAACTGTTAAGATGCTGTTAGTTAAAAAAAAATAAAAAATGTTGAAACCTGGTAAATCATCCATCTGGTGAGAATAGCAGAGTGCAATCTGAACAAAAAGCTAACATTCAGTGTGTTGGTGAAGATGTTCAACTGCAGGAACCATAGTTTTTTCTTTTCTTCTCTCCTAAAATATTTCTGATAGTTTTAGAAAGTTGATAGGGGATGAGAGAGCAGTGCATACTTGTATCTGCAGGGATTCGTGGCAGCAGGGGGAAGTTGATGTTAATGTGGAGAAAAGTCCAAACTTCTGTGTCAGATGACTGAGAAAATATGAGGGTGAAGTGAATTTCAGACCAATATTTAATGGATAAAATTGGAATCAGTAGGAATTTTCTAAGTTTTTAGTGTTAACAGAGAGCTTCTCTATATCTTTTATAATTGTCCACAGTATTCCTGTCTAAGATACCACTGTGCAATGATACACTGTGTGAAATAGAAATATTGTGATAAAAAGTCAGGAGATACCTTTGTTATGCTCAAGAGTATTTTGGGTAGTGGGGAGGCAGGACAGAGAGGGATACCCCAGCACGGAAGATAAAAGTCAGGGCCTTTTGGCATATTAAAGCTTATTGAAAACACAAATGCGAAGTCCTGCATTTGGGAAGGATTTACCTCTTACAATGTTATAGGCTGGGGACAGACTGGCTGGCGAGCAGCTCTGGGAAAAGAGTGCTGGGACCCCTGGAGCTCAGCAGGAGCTGGAAGCGAGCCCTGGCAGCAGAGGTGGCCAGTAGCACCCAAGGCTGCACCACCAGGAGCTCGGGGCAAGGGTTGTGCCCCCTGCCCAGCACTTGTTGTCAGACCACCTCTGGATAACATGGCCAGTTGGTGCCCCCCAATGCAGGAAAGACACCGATAACCTGGAGTGAGTTCACCCCCGCGACGCTCAGGGCTGGAGCATTGCCCCGTGAGCAGAGGCTGGGGCAGGGGGGCTTGTCCAGCCTGGGGCAGAAATGGCTTCAGGGGCACCTTACAGCCACCCCAGTGCCTACAGGGAGGGAATGGAGAGGGGGCAGCCGGGCCCATCACAGCCGTGCATGGCAGGGCAACAAGGTACGGCAGGCATGAACTGAAATGAGAGGGGTTCAGGCTGGGTACTGAAACCTCTCCCCCATGAGGACAGGCAGGCCAGGGGCAGGCAGAGGGACAGGCTGCCCAGGGAGCCCAGGCAGGCGCCGTCCTTGGGGGTTTTCAAGACCCGGCTGGGCAAAGCCCTGAGCAACCTGGTCTGATCTCACAGCTGGCCCTGTTTGGAGCAGGGGTGCACAGGGGACCTCCTGAGGTCCTTTCCAGACTGAATTACCCAGTTATCTCAGGTAAGTTTTGCAGCACTGGGACTGTACACTGGTTACACCTGGCTAAAATATCCTCTAGTTATCCTATTTATAGAAAAGATTTTCTTCAGAAACTCACCCATTTTACACAAAGTCCAAAATAAATAAACAGTACTTGTTTGCTAGGGATACACTCTAGCTTCTTCAGAAGTCTTTTAGAACTTCGCCAACGTATGTGGTTACACTTTTTCCGCAGACTCACAGGACTCTGCTCCAACGAGGAGCTGAAGATGCCTATATATAGAAAATTAGTACAAGCCCTTTATATAATCCAGATTATTTTGAAACAAAATATAGGCTTCTTTCCCACCCCCAAGATGAATTAAATAAGGCACTATGAAGTATGTTTTCTCTATATAGTCTTCTGTTTAGAAACTAAGTTGTGCATTTCTGACAGTGACTGAATAGAGCAAATGGGATAACAGATCTCTATTTAGGTAGCTGTCCCAAAAGATATGCTGCATATCTGTCCACTACTTGTTTCTGCCAATTTAGGATGATATTTTAGCTCAATAGTAGCTATCCACAATCCTTTGTAGTATTTCATCTTACAGATATAAAGGAGGAAAGATAACCTTTTTTTTTCAAGAGCCCTTCATGAATGCCATGAAAAGATATCAATGTACCTATGAAACAAAAGGCTTCTGCAAATAGGAATGCAAGAAAAAGTCTTTCTACTTGCACATTCTCAGATGAATTGCAGATGTCAGGCAAATCAATAAATCTCTCGGATATCAAGAAAAATAAGGATCCCAGCCACTTCCCCCGAGACTCTTTATGTAAAAGGTGGCACAATAATTATGTAGGTGGATTATGATCTATAGGCAAGTGCACTGACTATTAACATCTAAAAGTGACATTTCCTTTTCAGACAAATTTAATATGAGTTGCAAAGATGCATTTTGCAGTCAACTTGCTTGTACAAAAGCTAAATCAGGCATGCTCTTATAATTGTACTGTATGCATTTTCCAGCTCAGACTCTGGTTCTACTGCTTCTCCCAAGTCAGTTACTGTGGGTAGAGCTGGCCTAATTTTTTTCAATGCATAGCACATTTGCCTAAATACGCAGTTTATGAAATAGTGCTACTGAAACACTCCAATCAGATCTGGCAAAAAATAATGATCAGGGAATGAGGGCAAAGGAGGGAGCAAAAAAAAAAACATTGAAATGTTTTATTCTGACAACTTGGAAATGAACTTTTTGACTTTTTAAGACAGCTTTTTTGTTAGAAGAGGAAATGTTAAGAAAGATCCAGAGTTAGATAACTGAAAGCTGAACAAAAATAAGAAAGCCCTTTTCAATGAAATGAAATATTTCAGGTTAACCAGAATGGATATATAGTTTTCATTTCATTAATTGGGTTCATTTTTTAAATGTTGGTACTTTGTAAACCAGGTGGGTTTTTTTCAGTGCAGGCATAAAAATGAAAAATTGTCCATGCAGTCAACATTAAGTTTGAAAATCTGCAGGCAAAGTATCTGTTACCTGGTAAAAAAACATTTTTCCTGTCCCCTTGAAAAATGCTCATGTGCTCAAGACTTATAAGAATATATTGAATCTTTGAGAGAGCTGGGAATGTCATTGGAAGCATGGATGAATGCTGTAATGTTGGTTTTAATAGCTAGTCTTTTGACCTCCATTAGTTGTTGCTGTTATTATGGCAAAGCTTAGACACAATGAAAATCAAGGAATAGCTCTTTGAGAACTGTCAGAAGAAAAATTCCATCTTAGAGTGCTAAATGAGGGCCTTTGCACCCACATCAGCCATAATATGTCAGCCCTGCAGCTAAGGCCACCTCTCAGAGGGGGTGGAAAGAGTTAGGAAAACTGAAATGGAGCTGAACAGGGAGAGAACTGAATTCAGCTTTGTCTTCTGTGAAACAAACCTGATTATGGCAAGGAAAGAGTATGTGTATATGTTCACCACAAAATGAAGAGAAACCCAGAAAAGAGAGAGAAATCCAGCAAAAGCTGCATAGCCTTGCCAGTGCAGCATTTCACACAGCTTCATCAGCCCTGTCACAGGGGGATGAAATGGGGGGTAGCCAGGGATGCCAGAATTGCAATGGGGGTCCCTCCTACCATCCCCATCTGTTCACAGTTCTTGTCTCCCAACCCCTTAGCCCAACTCCTGCCCCTGAACTCAGTGGGGAGCACCGCTCGGGCACAGCTGATGGCCAAGCCCTATTTCTTGTGACACACTGGGCTGACAAAGCCAGGCATGCTCAGAGCCAGCTCCGGGCACTTGGCTGTGAGCTGCTCTGCTTTGCATGGATGTGCCATCAGTGAGAGGAGGGAGAAGGGTTTCAAAGAAACCTCTTCTCTTTGAAGAAATGCCTGTGCATTGTACATAGCTTGGGAACTCCTACAGGATCAGGCCTTCTCTTGATGTCTTGAAGAAATTTATGTAAAAGGCTATGACATGACAACCTGGAACTTTATAGAAAATGACAACTGATGGCTGGAGAGCCCTGAGGCAGGGTAAATAATGCCCATGGGAAGGCTCTGCTGGGAGGAATCTCGCTACATATGGTTTCATATCAAAAGCCATTTCATTTCTTGTGGGAGGAGATAAGAGAAAAAAATAACCCCATGTTATAGTTGTTGCTGGTATCACCTAATGCAATGGTGAGAGGTATTGCAGTGATGACAGCGGTGTATGAACTCATGCAAAATAAAATCGAATCTAAAATAGAGGCAATGCAAACATTTGTTGAGTTTTATCAGCTGATATTTGTGTGAAAAGAAACGGTACAAATGAAATTTTGTTAATGCCTTTCACTTCCATAAACGTTAAATGGCTACAAGTGGAACACTAGCAAAAAAAAGAAAAGCCCCGCAAAAATCACTGACTTAAACTTTCCACATTTATCACTGGACTCATGAATTTAGTGATTAATTAAATTAATTTGATAAAGTAATTTGGTTTCTGTGTGTTACTTTTTTCTACTTATACATGAAAGCCACTAGTTAATAGGAAGCTGACAAGCTTTTTCTCTGTTTGTGTCAGGTGCTGAAACTAATCTGAACTTGAGAAGCAGGGAAGATCCAAATACATCAGATGTTGGATCAGAAACCCAGGATAAAAATGCAAATAACCATGGAACTCAGTCATCTAATCCACTGTCCAGTACTGTGACTGCTGAAAATGGAAATTCAGTATCAAATGGTAAGCAGTTTTTAATCCCAAAGCTCTTCTAACATAAAATTGCTGAAGTGTTTCTTTGAATGAGTTTTTTAAGATATAGTCAAGCTGGAATCTTCTGAGTTGTAAAATAACTGTGTTTCTGGAACTGGCTTAACTTTGTATGTGTGAACTGATAAGCCCCTCTCCAATAAAAGCTGAATGTGAAGAAAATAAAAGAGCCTCTGTTGAGGAATTTGTAATTAGCTCAGTTCCAAGTCTATAAGCAGCCTGAGGCATGGAGGGCTGAGATTTGAGATTTCTGATCCTATAATCAATACAAATGGGAGAGAAAATGGAAAATCAGGATCTCCCTCTGCTACAGGTGCCTTCCTAGTGAATGATAAATTGTTTATCATCGCAACAAGATGATCAAAATGGTGCAAGAGCAATGACAGAAAGAATGAAATCTTTCAAGGTCCTAAAAGCATAAGTGCTAAGGATATAGCACCTGTATTACATAAAATCACACAATACAAATACACAAGTATGAACAGACACAAGACAAATAGAATTTATTTCGATGGAATGTGGAGAAGCAGATGTCTAAATACTTGCATGGCACTGGGTACAATTATCTTCATGCTGAAAACTTAAATCTAAATATGGTTTGTGTAAGCAGAACAGTTGTATAACCTTTACTGTTAAGGGTAGAACTACACATAATGCAGTTGGTAGTTTGAGAGCTATACTGGAAAAATCAAAGGGAAAAAAATATTAGGTCAAGTGAAATATTGCATTTTGTTTTCCAAATATGCTATCCTGTTTTTTTAAAAAAAGGCTAGATCTGCTTAATATGCAACATTTTGAAATGAAAAATCAAGTGTTATTATAAAAATGAAACATTTAAAAATCAAATAATTACTTTCTTTTCAAGAAAACCTATTCTCCAAATTCTGCAGTGCTTAGCCAAAATAATTCTTCCTGCTCTCTCTGATAATCAAAGCAGAAAACCCATCCAGTCTGAGAAGTTATAGAAGTGTAAAGGTGCATTCATTCCTGTGTGGAAGCAGGAACACACTGTGACAGCAGAAAAAGGCATCTTTGTCCATTATAACTGTGTCCCCATTTGTATCAATATAATAATTTGGGGAGGAGGGGAGCATATTTTCAGTATGTATAACAGTCAGACTGTTAAACACAAAAACTGTGGGTAGACCAAGTCTTTGATTCCTTTCTATGTAGGGTTTTAGCCATATATTCTGATGTCCTAATAGGACTTGATCAGCTTTTTATAAGAGCAACCATTTTATCCCCAGACCCCTTAACTGGGAGTTTAATCACAAAAGCTGTGTTTCTTTCAGCTTAGAAATGAAATGATGCTTTAAGTTTATAATCTGTGATGATTATAGTTAATAAACGATCTCAGTTACTGAAATAAATAGTCATTGCCTGAATAAAAGGCCAACTAATAGGTGAGATGAGTGCTTGTAATTGTTTGTGTGAAGTTTTTATCAGTGTATTTGCAACCACTAGTAGTCAGGGCTGTTCATATTGATTATATACAGTATGCACTATGCATAAACTAATTTTTTTCAAATTATTTGTAAATGGAAAGTTTAATCATAAGAGTGTAATATTGTGCAATGTAATTTCCAGTAAGATATTTTTTCCATTAAAAAACACTGATTCATCCAACCCAAACTTTCCAGGGAAGGTTCCCAATTTTGATGCAGCTTTGATAAGGAATGGTTTTGATATTCACTGTGTACTATGAGTAGGAAAAAACTCCCTGTAGGTCTGGCAATATCCCACTGGGTAAGGATTTAGCATTACTTGTGGTATTTCACGGTTTAAATCTATGTTTTGCCTATCAGACTGTTGTAGAAATGATGCAAGCCTTGATTTTACCCTGATGCAGAGCAAAATCAGATCATAAATTTTGTGATACAGAATGCAAGTTTTCCAGCCAGCCTTAATAATAATTGAAAGAGTTGACAATACGGAAAAATTTTGATGTACCTTGATTACATGAATTCAAAACGAGTGTGCCAGTTTGCTTAGGAAAAAAATCCTTCCAGGACTCAACGTCTGCATGATTTTGAAATCTGTGTCTTGTTGAGTATATCTAGGCAATTCTGATATTTGAGAATGTGCCATGAGGTGTTTCCATGTAAAATACTTTTTCATTTCTTTGTTACTGTATATCAAACTCCTCTAGCTTTGAGGAAAATAAAACCTGAAATGCATTATTAAATAGTTGATACTGAGATTACAAAACTCTTGGATATAGAGTAATCTGCTTCCCACTCTTACACAGTGCAACTATATAATCTACTTTCCACTGATAGAACTAAAGTCTAGATTCATACATTACTCATAGGAGTTAATACAGAAGTGATTTCTTAAATAAGACTAGTCTTTTGCTGTCGTGAATGAAGTGTCAGCACCACTCCTCTGAAGCATCATGAAACTTAAAGTCACTATGGTCATAAGAATAACCATTTTGACAAAGATGTTAATCTTACTTGTAACCTGATGAATTCTTTAGGAAACCATGACTAAGCAGCTAAAAAGCTGCCTGGCTCAGCTTCCAAACAGATTAATGCTGTGTTGCTTTTAGAAGCTGAGTTTAATTTCTGGCACTGCTGTTAGTTCAGAATTTTAATAGAAGTTGCTTTTACATTTTTTATAATGTAATCCTCTTCTTCATTCGTTTATCTGTAATATTAGGAGTAAAACCTTTCTACAGGTCTGTGCTATCAAACTGACATTTCTGCCACAAATCTTCCACACCTACCAGAGTTTTTAGTCTGAAAGAAAGCTTTTTTGCTATTTCTTGTTCAAACACGGAGAGTAATCAGAAAGCCTATAATAACCTTTTATGTTATAATGCTGGAAGTTGTGATCCTAAATCACCAAAAACAGCAGATCTTCTGGTGGGAGACACTCAAATGCTGCAGGTAAAAGTTTACTGAAATTTGCTGGCATTTCCAACTAGTACCTAATAGGATATAGAGTAGTGTTTGAACATTAAGTGAAATGTTTAAATATGACAACTATAAGAAGTGACTGAGGTGACCTAACCTTTGGTTAGTGAAAGGGAGAAATTCCCCAGAAATCTGACAGCTCTTTACCCCCAGTGCAGTGTATTGTAGAGGTATTACTCTGTGTAACCCAAGTGGAAATTACAGTAGATATTGTATAGATGAGACAGCCCTGTTGGACCAAAGGAGCATTGTGCTGCACCGTGCCTAATGCTCATACAGGGATGCTGTTAATCCAGCTCCGCTGGCACGCTGCTTCCCTTGAAGGAAGCGCCTCTGGTTATTCCTCTTCAGTTATAACTGAGGTCCACTGCTTGTGTATGGAGATCCATGTGAATGGACTCACTATATAGTTTATGCAGATCAGCATAAGAGTAACTGTAAGAACCTGTCTGTTTTACCAAAAGCCCTATGCATTATTCAGGTAAGGGGATTAGTCTTGTCTAACTTTAGCTGTCGAGAAGGCAGCCATTCTGTCTAAGCAGGTCACCCGTGGGCTGCAGTCTGCTATATAGTCTCTTGAAACACCACCAGATCTTGGCACATCAGGCAACAAGTCACGGAATGGGAGAGGTGTCACAGCAGATAACCTGACAGAAAAGGGGCGTGCCACCATGACACAGGCTACATGCTGTTGGGCACAGAGCCTTACATCTTGCCTTTCCTGGTGATGCCTCTTTCACACTACAGGAGCCAATGTATCAAGTGGAGCTGATCAGTAGATCCAGCCTGTCTGTGAATGAAGAATCATGGAGGAAAGTAGGTGGTTTAGGGAATGATGTGTGGCCACATTTGCAAATGTGCACATTTGACTCTGTGGTGTTGCTGTTGTTTTGCAAATACAGATGGTGGAGGCCAGGAGATGCAGGGTCTCCAGTTTGGGAGTAGCAGAGCCTATGAGACTGGAGGTTCTCTGGAACCACAGAATCACTTCTAGATGTCCAGTGATCTAGATCTCAATATGTGAGATGCAAGCTATTTATCTGAAGGATTCTAAGTTGAGTACCTGACAACAGGGCAGAAATGGGAAATAAGAAGTACGGGAAGAAGATCAGGGATTGAGTGTGGGATCTTCCTTTGAAGCAATATAGAAAAGGCATTACAGGGAGTAAGCAGGTCAAGGATTGGGTTTCTAGTCTGAATACACATATTGCTTGGGACAAGGTCGTATTCTTGATTATGTGAAAAAAATGGAATGCATTTCCTTCATTTAACTTCTCTAGTTAGAGATTATTGATTGAATCATATTCCTTGCCATCATTTTCACCACCACATATGATTGCAGTAATAATGTTAGCAAGCATAGTTTTGCCAAAAAATTGCCAAATTAGACTTACTGTTGGTAACTTGAGAATAGTTGCAAGAAAACCCAGTCCAGATGGTGTAATTTGTGCTCCAGCCTGAACGCCTGATTAACTTATGTTCTTGTAGTTCTGCCCCTGCCCCTGCTAAACTGATGCTTCCAACCTTGTGCTCAGTTAAGCAAGGTCCTATTCAGTGCACAGCTGTGGTATCCTAATATTTACTTAGGTGTACGTAAAGGAAAACTCTCAGAATGTAATCAGCTACTCCATTTATCTTTCCAAACTCCAAGCCTCTGCTTGCCATGTCTGTGATGACGTGCTGTTGCTGTACATGGAAATTTCACTTATTTGATAAGACCTCTTATCAAAGTGCTTTTCATAGAAATAAACAGAAAATCATCGATAACCTTATTCTTAGCTCAAGGCTGTCATGGACGGTAGATCATAAAGTGTATGAAAATAGTGCAAAAGCAGTATCTTTTTCAAAACATGCTGCTGGCCTAGGAAAGTATTTTCATTCATTTATAGTGGTCTAGAATCACATAAATATTTTACATTGTATCTTTTATTTGAATCAAGTGAATAACAGCTACTTTAAAAAGCATTTTGCGTTAAAATGTGGATATTTTTTTATTACTTGGTTTGAGATGTATCCAAAATTAATCCATGTGAATAAATTATTAGTTTAGGAAATGACTTGAAAAAAAGGGATTTGCTTTGTGTTGACAAAAACTGGATTTTTGGAGGGAAATTTATTTCAAGCATTTCATTTGACCAAAAATATGTGATTTTGCGGAGGGAGAATTTTAAGTTAGAGGACAGGGAATTTAATATAGGTAAGAAAGGAATAGTGGTAACTCACATATATTTTACAAGCCTAGTATACTGGAGACCTGGAATATCAAACCTTGCCCCCATACCTACCTAATACACCATGGACCAGCTTCAAAAAGTGATAACTCCACCTCAAAACAACACATAGTTCAAATCACTGAGAGAACAGGGTCAGCCTTTCTCTCTGCAGCAGGCAGAAAAGGACTGAAATGCTGGATTATCACAAGATTTGACCTGGCTCCTGAGCTGCAAGCAGGGGTTCCACCTTCTTCACTACCTGTGTGTGTCCAGAGGAAGTCCAGATGATTTGAAGCTGTAGAAAAAGATCCATATTTATGAATACTTTACACAAACTTCATTCAGAAAAACAAATGAAAAACAGCTGTCCCTAGTTACAAAGCTGTGGAGATACACCTTTAAAAGGGGGAAACTAAACACAGGGTAGAGAGGCCAAAAAGGAATAAGGATCATTCCTTCTCTTTAAAATTCTTGCTCTATTTCTCTCACAAAGTCAGGTTATTTTATGGCATTATTTTCATGAGTTAAATCATGTATCAGTAACCATGTAAGAGCTAAGGCTCGTTTATCAAAATAAAAAAAATTAAAAAAACTTTTTAATACTGAAAATAGCAGGTTGGAAGACAAGCATATTTCACAGTGTGTTTCTATGCCAGTTTCGTGATTGAACAAGAAACTAAACATGAACATGAAACAGAACTATGTCTAGTGCAGTACATAACCCCATAAGTAGTTTATGATTCATTGCATTTGAACTTCGAAGTGTTTCCATTATGATTCTGTGTATGTTGTGTATAATATGCAAAGAGTGGGGCTCGCCTCATTTTTTCTTATCTAAGAGTTACATACCTAGGCCCAGAATCACCTTACCTAGTTTTAGGCATGCAAAAGGTAGATGCCTAGTCTAATCAAATACTTCAGATTAGATGTTATCCATTTCTAGTTAGTAAATCTCAGATGATCTACTGAGAACAATTCAACTTGCATATCTCTTACCAGGATGAATCCTGTTCTCGTGGTGGTCAGTTCTGTTTGGTTGACCAAAGAAGGAGGAGTGATATGCTGTTTATGGATGCCATAATAGCATGAAAATTTGGAATATATGCTATATGAAGCAATACCAAAATTGCTGGATACCAGACCTACTATGGTGTCTGTGATTCTAGTTTGTGAGGGGCTTAATAACACCTATCGTGGACTCACTGTGTTTCTGCTTCTGCCTTTGCTTCCCCTCATCCCACCTTTCAGATCCTCTGTAGGGCTATGTGAATGGTCTTCCCACTCCGGCAGAAGTGATGGGGAAGCGCCGGCCGTGAGCCTCGCTCTAGGATCACTGTGCAGGGTGTTTGTTTCTCTTGACTACAGAGGGAGACTACCTGGCTTTTTTACACTGGATGACTGGTTTTTGCACAGCTAAATTTTGGGCAGCTAATTCCCACGTGGAGAGTGCACAATAAGTACAAGAATTACAAAAAAGCTTTGTACTGAGGAGATGAAGTTGTGAGTCCTGGAGCTACTATCGACTTCCCGTGTGACCTAAAGACATTAATTTGAGAGCAGACCACAGGCCTGTTTTCCATTCCCTTTGCATTGCTTCTGTGATGAAAAGGAGCCAGGGGAAGAGGAGCCAGGGTTTTCCGCATTGCAGGAGGAATCCCTGGCCAGTGTGTAGGTAATGTGTTATTTGTAGGCTCTTTCAGTACAATTGCTCCTTCTGTAAACCAGCATGCGTACCTATGATGCTATTCATACTTGGTAAACAATAATTGTTCCAGTTTCGGTAAGCATGGAAATAGTAAATATCCAGGCAAATGTGTGATTTTTTTGGTTCTTTTTTAGTAAAACATGTCAAGGTCTTTTGAATCTCATGCTGAAATCAGCCAATGCATAAATTTCAGGTTATAAATTAGTATTGTTCTGCTTTAGGTTTACCAGAGGAAACTGAATATTCAAGACTGTCGGCCAGCACGACTGCAGGCTCATCAATTCAAAGACATAGGGAGAGCCACACTAGTCAGGTAAATATTTCATTGATGGTCTACTAGAACCAGTAAAAGAGAAAAAAAAAAAAAAACATAGCAGCTGCATGTTGAAAGCTGTCTTGATTCAAATTTGTGTGTTGGCATTGAAAAATGCAGACTTCTTTTACAGGTTTCTATTGAGGTAAGGACAATAATGAATTTACTCTTAACTTTTTTTGCTGGGAGGATAATCATTCTGAAAGGTTCTCATAGTAGAGTTCAAAGTTTATGAAACTTACTGTTGCTGGTTGTGAGGATGCTATTTTCAGGGAGGAAATAAGTCTCTTCACCCTGAGAGCACCAAGATGTTATCTTTCTCAAGACATTCATTCATACCAGAAAGCGTTGCATGATAATGAACCTCTTAGGAATAATTGCAAAATTATATCATCCTTTTGTATATAAAAGCAGTGGAGACTTTAACAGCAGTCTTCACTGTTTTTATACAAATATCAAAAAGTCAAAATTAAAATCCAAATATCTGTCAATTAAAACAGCAATAGATATTGAGGTAGTGTGAAGCTTGCACTTTGGTTCTTTGAAAATTTCTGTTCAGATAATGTTACTTTAAAATAACAACACAGAATTAAGCTTGATATACATTAAGTGAACAAAAAGGAATAAAATCTGTCATAACATATTTTCTTCATTCTTTTCTTCAGCATTTTATATATGCCTGTATATGTGAAACACTTTACTTTCTAAATAGCCAATTCAGGCATGAAGGCATTCAGGAAATTTTATTTTATTTCACTTAAATGGCAGTATGTATTCTCCTGTTGTCTTTATGTCTTCAGTCCACTTTTCTAACAGGGTAGTCCCAAATCATTTTTTTCATTTGAGGTGACTGTAAGAATTTTACAGTAAAGCCAAATATTGTCCAAAGAGAAAATATGCTGGAGCTTAGAGGAATTTCCTCAACAGAAACCTCTCATTAACCAATGGTACAGTTTCCAAACTATTTTACCAGAAGGTGAGGGAAGTGCTTTATCACATTTAAAAGCTACTTGTTGTCTGTGGGGGACAGCTGATATTTCATTACAAGAAAATACTGGCCCTAACCAAGTGAATGAATGTTTGGCCATTGACTCCAACAGGAGTGGGATTCAACCTTCAACATCATATTCGGTCTTAATGTAACTTTGAAAACCAATAGATTTTAACTGAGTAAATATGTAAGCAAACTAGTACAAAAGTCTTCACTTCTTGTTTTTCTGCCCCACTGTCCAAAGCACAGGCATAACTACAGTGCCTATTCTGGATTGAAAAATTGTGCCAAGACAGCACTCGGCACTACACTCATCTCTTCAGACACATAAGTGAGGCCGGCCAGAGCTGCCCTGGCACACATAGGCATATACCCGTCTTGCACACAATAACAAATCTTTGCCATCACCATACCTCTCAGACTCTGAAAATGTACTTTGACCATATTGTGAAAAAATACTTACAGGTCTACTATCTCCAGATCAGTATACTGGATGAGGATATGGGATTATGAAGACGACTGGAGACAATGTTTTCAATTGTCTCTGTTACATTTTGTAATGATCAACCAAATACTTATTAGGCATGAGAGCAGCCAAAGAGCCCTTGCTAGTGAATGAAAAATCCAAGTCCCAGACACTGCTGCAGTTATAAACCTCACACAGCGAGACACTTTCGTCCTGGAGCACCTTACACCTCTATTGCTAAAACGCTTGCCTGGGATCAATGAGGATCATGTTTAAATTACTACATCAGTGCTGTACACGGAGAATTAAATGAACTGGGTACAGGGGAGGCATTATCTTCTTCTTATCTTTGCAAATGGAAACTGTATCCTTATGTGAAATTAGTCTGCAACATTTAAATGTGTTATTTTAGAAGCAAGTCTTTAACCATTTACACACTTGTATTTTTGATTTTTCCAAAACTACTTGCCAAAAGCTGAACACAATTTCAATTCAGTACTTTGAAATGTCACTTTTCATTGAATAGATGTTTTGCCAAAGTGTTTCACAAATCTTTAAAATAGATTCCATGCCATGTACTCAGAATTACATTCAGGGACAATCGTTAAATGCAAGCTGAGTAAGAACTGTGACAAGTTTAGAGAAGAAACCTGCAGTTCTGTGATTTTTGATACAATTGCTTTAATGAATAAACATCTTCCAAAATGGTGTTGCCAAAAGAAAAATAAAAAAATCTTCCTCCCACAAAAAGAAAAAAAAAATCTTAAAAAAATTCTGTGCTCACAGGGATGAGAATTCTTACTATAAAAAGCATCCCTCACCATTTCCAAAGCATGGCATATATTTGAAAATTATTGGGTTTAATTACAGTTGACATTTCTTAGCATGCTGCTGGTGACTCTAACAGTGTACAACCCTATTGTAAAAGCCTTTGCCAGGCTTCACTGCAGTAACCTTATCACTTTAAAGTAATTCTTGCACAGACATATGAAATAGGACAGATTGTTTCACGGATCTGTGAAGGTACTGATTGACTAATTGCCTTAGAGGGAGAAACATAGACTGGGTCCTTGGATTTCTTGGCAGACACTCTGTCATTTCAGCTAAAGGAAACTGGTTCATTAGCTTTAAGGAACTTCTAATATTTATGGGGGTTTTTTAATATCTCCCTGCTAGTTCCTTACTGAAGTGACAGGAGTTAATTTCATTTTTGTCACAGGATCTCAAGGCTCATATACATCCAAGTAAAGTTTAGGCATTGTGGCTTACAGTACCATCATGTTGTCACATCAGGTGATAGTTACCTGCATCACTGCCTCATACTTCCTGCACGCTGCAAACCTACACACTTCAGCAAGCAAATTCTTCAGCTCAGTATCTGTCAACGTACATCATAAGGATCAATCTTTTAACAAACACTTCTGGAAGCAATTACCAAGTATAAAATATCATGCAGATGTGAACTCAGCAACTTAACTGATCATCTCTAAAGTAAAGGCTGCTGAAAACAAACAAACAAAAAAGTTTATTCTTGGCCATAAGTGCTACTTTTCCAGGGCAATGGTTACTTAAAGGTCAATTTTTGTCGAAATGAAAAAGGACAAAAATTGAAAAAAAAGTTAAAATAGTAACAAAATATTTCTCATTTGTAAGTTATGAAATAAAATTCTACCTTCTTCTGCTAGAAAAATGGGAAGGGTATTGAAAATAAAATTTGATTTTTTGTCTCATCAGAAATGAGAGTGCTTACATTAAAAGAAATGAAAGTCTTGCATGCTAAAAGAAGAACAAAGCATGTTTTTTTTAAAATAATACCTTTTTCTGCATATTGTTCTGTGGCTGTACAGTTGTAGATTTCCAAGTGATTATATCTATAGGTTTCAAGTACCACATAAAACATAAGCAACCTAACATCTGATATAACACTGTAGCATCATCTTCATCCTCAGTGAAGATGACAACTGAACCATGAATTTGGGGGTTAAACCAGTTATAAAGAAGTTTCATGTGCTTTAGTTTGTTCAGACAGTAGATCTTTAAGAAACTATTTGTTAGCAAAGAGCCACATGTATTCTTTTCACCAACCTAGCACACCAGCTTCCATGTATTTTGTGCTCTCCTTGTAAACCAAAACATTATAGCCAAGGAAACCTTCAAAATGTAAACTAGAAATCTACAGTAAAATTATACTGCAAGAAAAAATATCCTAATCTACCTTTACAAGAAAACCTACTTTGCTCTTAGTGACTAAGCCCATGTATATCAGCTGCAAGAACTGCATCTAACTCAGACTCTACAGAAAACCTTTTAGTAGCTGTGCTGCACGTCTTGGTCCCTGAACAGCAGAAAACTAGGAAACTTAGTTTTCCAAACTGGATTTAAAATTAGTGATTTAAAATTATTTAAATCCTTATTGTTTCAAATTGCTTCAGTGATTCGTTTAAAGAGTTTGGGACTTCCAAATGTGCCTGGATCTGTAGTCTTGAATTCTTATCCCATAATTTCCTTCCAGAGGCAAAGAAACCACCAAAATGGAAGAGATATTTCTTCCAGTAATTAGTGCCGTAATCTTGCTTAGATAGAAAATTTTGTTATGACTAAGAGTCATTTCTATTCATTTACACTCCAGGAAGTGATCCCAAAGCATACTGGAGACTCCACAAATGTTGAAGTTGCTTAGCAGGGTCTAAAACCCAAAACCCCTCCTCTAAAGTAAAAAAGCTTTATAAATTATTACCTCTGTGCTCTCTTTCTTTTACATGAAGCATTTCTCAGTTACTTAGCCAGTCCAATGGGCTCTCTTCTCCAGACTGTATTTATTGCTGCCTCTGTTCTCGATAGCTCCTATGAGTGTGTATGTTTAAAAGATAAAGCATAAAGACTGTCGAAATATATAAGTTCTTTGGAATGTTAGCAACAGCAGCAAGATGAAATAGAGTCAACAATAGCAAGACTGTATCTTTGGCACCTCACACAAAAGCTAATGGCCCTGTCGTCTTCTTTTTCACAGATCTAGGATTGTATTTTTTTTATTTTTGGTGAAAATATTTTAAAGGTGTTATTAACATTCACTACGAAGTGGGATGTGGTGTGAGAAAGATACAGTGGAAAGAAGAAAAGCAGGCCAGCTAAAAGACTCCTTGTTTCTTATGTGGGCAGCAAGAAGCAACATGGTCTGTCTGCAACGGGATGAGATGGACAACCTGGAGATAATGAACAGATGGGAAGTGAGGGGCAGATTAGAGACTAGAGTGATAATAAGCGTGTGTGTGGGGTGGGAGTGGGGAGTAAAACAGGCACCAGATCAAGGATGATTCAGAGAAGTAAGGTTGGAGGAAGAATAAAATGACTGAGAGAGAAGGTAAATAATAAAATGGAATAGGGGATTTAGAAAGGATAAAGAAGGAAGAGCCAGAGAGAAGAAAAAAAAAAAAAAACAGAGTAGTGAGAAAAACAACTAAAAGGAAGATAAGAAAAACATGAGGGAAAGAACCAAGGACAGAGCACAGGGTGGTGGAGTAAATAGAGAGAGGGACTAAGGAG